GGAACCTTATGGTATTCATATGAAATATGAATCAAAAAGAAACTATTTTCACCACCCCTGCTTGGGTAAAATATGAAATTATAAAGACAGCAGTCTTTAGATGTATTTTTAACTTGAAAGAGCTACTGTATCTTTTGATATATACACAGTACACAACAACAAACAAACCTTCATCCATGTATGGAAAACTCAATACAGAAGCATTTCTTTATACCCGTGCATTAATTTGTGAACCTGACGGTCTACTGGCAAAATAACTTCAGTGGACGAGAGTTGGGTTTAGTGCTGTAAGTCTGAAAGAAAGCTAGTGAGTAGATATATTTACAAGTGGCAGAATGAGAGAAAAAAAACTTTTTGTTCTTACAAAAACATGAATTACAAAACATAATTGCATACTTGTTGGTTAGACACAAGAAAGGAAAAGCCACCATCAGCCACCTGGACTTTTAATTAGTGATTGGTGGGTCAGTTGAACATTTGACTTAAGTCGGGTCTTTGTTCCTATTAAGAAACTGCTTCTTAATAGAAGACAAAAAAACATTCAAAGACAGAATGCAAAGTTTGTACTGGTGTGTCGCTGTACTGGTGTGTACTCCAAGCCCAAGTTGAGCTCTGCAACCCAGAGATTGTGAGCTTGAATTCAGGTTACCTGGCCGCCGGGCAGTTCAGACAACTGCCAGATGTTGATGCGGCGGACTCGCTAATATCCTCAGTTTAAAAAAGTAATACTGTGGCCCTCAAACTAAAATATTTTTATTACCTCCAATTTGTATTCTTCAGATACAATTATTTCTGCTCTCAATTGGCATTACTTTCAGTATTCGGTAGCCCCAATGTCCTTCCTCACCTGCTCATATTGATTTGGACCATGGTTGGGCTAAGGAAATCACATGGCCAAGTTCAGCCCATCTGTCACATCTAACATCCTAGTAGTCCATGACTCAACAGCTTAACTGTTGTCTTAGTTCACAGACCCAAAGTGTGTGTGTGGGGTGGGATGCAAAAAGTGCCTTATCCCTACCAAATAAGCAACATGGTTATCTAAAGTCTCTATCTGCTTAATTTAAAGAGTCAAGATCAATCCCTGTTATATACAGTAAATCAGCATTTACTGTATATTTTTGGATTGTACTGCTAGTAATACTAAGAACATACAGTAAATGTATTGTTGAGGTGTACTGTATGTGGAAAAAACGTTTGAAAGAACTAATGGACTAGCCAATATGACTAACTGTTTGATTACTAATCCCAGTCCGTCACCGGTGGTGATACAAAATTGGGTAGGGTTGGGGATCTGTCAGCCAACGCTCTCTTGTGACCCTTGTGACCTTCCTGGGCACCTCCAAGCTTTTGATCATGCTGGGGAGGGACTCCCCCCATCCCATTTGGTGCTGATCCTCCTGGCTGCTGCTGTGGAACTAGAGGGGCTGCTCTTCCTGTGAAGGCAGAGTGGTTGTTGCTGTGCACCGAGATGTAAAACCACTATTGTGTCAGGATTTCCGAAAGGGGTGAGTAGTCGGACCCCTGTGCGAAGCCGTGAGGAAGGGAGTTTGAGCAAAAGTAAATCCGAGATTCCAAATCCAAGTCGTCAGGCAGGAGTGAAGTCAAAAGTAGGAGAACCAGGTTGAGTAGTCAAAGGAGTCAGGTCGAGAATAGTAGCGCGCACAAGAGAAAGCTGTGGAAGACTTCTCAATGAGCGTTGGTAAGCCGGTGAAGAGTGTTTAAATATTGAAGAGAGAGAGAGAGACGTGGTTTGGTAATTAGTTCCTGGATGAGCTTGTGTGGAATTTAGAAGGCGTGGGAATGCCAGGGCGCTTACGGGAGAAGGGACAAGTCGTGACAAACTGCTATTCCAAAACTGGATGGATCCCAAACAAAAAATAAACTGCTTGTGTATTCTTGAAAACAAGAATCCAACAGGCTTTTATGATGTATTTGCAGGTTTTAGAAATTGCATTCTTTTGCATATGATTAAAAAATCATTCCCACATATGCAGAACGACTGTTAGTTTGAAGCTGAAAGCAATCCTCAGTATTTGTGTAGTTGTGACTTGTAGAAACACTATTATTTCTATTGGTAAGCTATACTTTTTCATCATTTTTGTCCAAATTAATCTAAAGAACTTTCCATGTGTTTTTCATTCTTCAAAGCATGGCATTGGACAAATACAAGAAAATTAAAAAAACGAGATAAAAGACGTTTCAGTGGTAACCTACAGAACAAAGAATCTTTCTTGCCATGTTCTTTCTGAGAACATTTTGTAACTATGTTGGAACAATTCATTAATTAACTTTAACTGGATCTTAGTTTCAGCCAAGAAGGCACCACGTTTCTGCAAACAATTTAAAGCATCTGGAATATGTCAAGTGTTGTTGAGTAAGTGGTAATAGTATTGTATTTTATTGTCTCCATACAAATTCTGAATTATATCACAAATAAAGGTGTACGTTCTACAAAGAAGACATTTTACACTTCTAAAAAAATATCATAATAGGAATCATAATAAGTATCTATATCCTGTGCTGCAGAAGTACATACTCAAATACAGGGATTTGGCCACCAGAGGGTAGTCTTCGAAGAATTTATTCAAACCTTCATTAATCCTCTTAAAGCTAACAAAAAATGTATATAAAACAGTAGCTTAGTGATAGCTAAAAACATTATTTTATTTGGTATATTTTAAAATACTAAAAAATGTTTAATATTAGATTTGTCCATTAGTCCATTAGTTTAAAACAAGGCTGGTGAAATATGGTCAGATTCATTAGTAATTATTTTAACAAAGTAACACTTTTTAATATTTAGCTATATGTTTTTAAATAATGTACAACATCTAAGTATATACTGTATAACTGTACACAAACAAAACTTTTGGTACATTTCTTCAGCTGTTTCGCATAAAACCATTCCCTATAAACCATAAATGTAACTTATTTCTCAAGATACACTGGTTTATTCGAGTCCTAATCAACATCATGCCCTTTCTCTCCTGTCTTACAAGGGGGCTTTGTTGAGAAGTCCATCTATTAAAATGTGTGTAAATTTTTTCAACTTCCTGTCATGGCCCAGTTAGAAATTAACATGGAGGTGCCTTGGTCTGCAACAGGAGAGTGATTAGGAAATAACTGTAGCCTTGCTGTGGCTGAAGAAAGGGGAAAATTTCACAAATCAGTTTCTGAGCGCCTTGCTTCTGAAAAGTCTTAAATCGAATCCCATTTTGTTTCTCACAGAACACAAGTTCCTTCTTGTTTTGTGATTAAAGAACCTCATTAAAAATGGCTTTTCTAGTCATCTTTGCTTTGAAAAGCCAACTTAAAATATTATTAACCATCAAATCTGGGCCACCCCTGTTTCTATTTTACTTCGTTTGACTGATTGCCTTTCTTTGCAGTGAACTTTGGGGGCAAAAGCTTATTTACAGTTTCTAATGAAAAAACAGTAATAATTTCCTACAGTGTGTTTCAAGAAGATATACATGCAGCGCAGTAAAATAGCAGACAAATGAAGAGAAATATTAAACATTTCCAACATTTTGTAACATATAATATGAATGATACTGTAATATCCTGTCTGCTCTGAACATAAAATAATTAAAGTACACCAAATATGTGTTTTTTTCCAGAACAGCAATTACATTAACTGCAATATGTTTAAAGAATAAAAAAAATGAGTTATATTTGATATTAGAATGCATTTAAATGAATGAAATTATTCATCCAATGGAAATTTCTTTAACATGACAATGTAATATCCTTGGTTCTGGGGTCATATTTTCATTAGTCCATTTTAATTGTCAGGGTCAAATATATCAAAGAGCATGCTGCAAAGCTGGAAGGTGGGAAAGAGAAAACAACAAAATGCAAATGAGCTTCATTATTTTCTATTTAATTATGTATTAAAACTTGAGCATTCCCAGCTTCACTTTACAGAGAGGTAGTCAGAGATAAAATGAGTCCAGACTATTTTTGAGATACAATAAGAATGAGCTACAATAGACCACGTCTCAGTGAAAATTGGTAGAATAAAACATTTCATTCTCAGTGCTTTCCTTCCATCACAGAACCAATAACAGCTAAATCTCCTTGGGAAATTGAAAGTCCAGACACTCAGATTAGGGAAATGGTTAGTCAGAAATATGTAGGAATTTAATTATGAAGAACATCCCTTAATCTACCCCGGCTTAGCTAAATTCTTCCTGAATGCTGTCCAGTTCCATTTATTAATAAGCTTGCTTGGTGTAAAGAGCATTTAGTTTAATGTTAATCTATATTATAGTTGGTTTGATTGGAACTTAAAATACTTTTCAGCACTGATTTTTTTCAGCCATTTTAAAGTCTTTTTTGCAAGCACATATCATGTTTATACAGAATTCAAATTATTAGGGGCATGAAAACAGTTTCATACTTTCAGAATTTACTTCAAACAAAGGAACAATGTGAAAGAAATCCTACAGTACAGTATATGAATGTCCAGATGCTGAGCTCACAATGCTCTCAGCACATCCATACTGAAACCTCTGGCTTCAAAACACATTTTAGACGGACAGCATTCCCATGCCTTAGAAGTCACACCATGTCTTTATAATTGTCTTTGTGAAAAAAGGGCTTCATGGTCTTGTTACAAACTAAGCTACAGTTTAGCTAATAACAGCTTTCCACTTCATCAGACGTACAGTATTTATACTAAAGGCATGCAGTATTCAAAGCAGGATCTAGGTTCAGGCACAAGCTTGATCTAATGGTTGACAAAAAGGTCTTAATAGCAGGAAGTTCCTGAAAAACTCGACCACTGACTGTGCATTGCCCTGCATTAGATCACTAAGCAAAAGACATTAAATCATTGTAGGTGACTCTACACTGTAGTTATTGATGCAAAAGCCATCCATTAGCTTGCGAATGGATTTGGTTAAAAGAGTGTGATATTTATAGTTTTTTTTTAAATGTATTTCTGCATCTGTTCTATGGATAATATAACCGCTTCTGTATTTCCTTTGTTTCAGGCTCCATGTACAACCTACCTGGCCATGCCTTTCAATTTGGTAAGGAAAACCTCAGCTGCATGGATAACAGCAGCAGTGTGGCAAATGCTGACTCTGGAGGACAAGAGTCACTGGAAAGTCCCTACAAGACTGTGGAACTTGTATTTATTGCCATTGTGACCGGATCACTGAGTCTGGTCACGGTGGTCGGTAACATTTTAGTGATGCTTTCCATCAAGGTCAACCGCCAACTGCAAACAGTGAACAACTACTTCCTGTTCAGCCTCGCCTGTGCGGACCTGATCATAGGTGTTTTTTCCATGAACCTGTACACCGTGTACATTATAAAGGGATACTGGCCACTAGGTGCAGTGGTGTGTGACCTGTGGCTGGCTTTGGATTATGTGGTCAGCAACGCCTCCGTCATGAACCTGCTGATCATCAGTTTTGATAGATATTTCTGTGTGACCAAACCGCTGACGTACCCTGCAAGACGGACCACAAAGATGGCAGGGCTCATGATTGCCGCAGCCTGGATCCTCTCTTTTATCCTCTGGGCACCCGCGATTCTGTTTTGGCAGTTCATAGTCGGGGAACGTACTGTCCCAGAGAAGGAGTGTTACATTCAGTTCCTCTCGAACCCCGCCGTCACTTTCGGGACAGCAATCGCTGCCTTCTACTTACCCGTGGTAATCATGACTGTCCTGTACATCCACATCTCCCTGGCAAGCCGGAGTAGGGTGAGGAAAAACCGCCCAGAAGTGAAAAAGGAGAAGGCGACAAAGTCCACCAGCTTGCTCAAGAGCCACATCATCAAACAGAACAATAACAACTCCTCCAAGCCCAGCACCGAAGTCAGCACAGAGACGGTGAAGAACGGGAAGATGGAGCAGTCAGCCACCACGAAGGTGGAGTCTACTGTCCAGCCAGAGGAGAAAGAAAGCTCCAACGACTCCAGCACAGCCAGCATTGCCCCAAAGGATGCCAAAGAGAGAGCCAACAGCGAAGCCATCTTGGATGGACAGAACCCCCTCCCTGTGAGAATTAACCCTGCCTCCAAGTGGTCCAAGATTAAGATAGTCACCAAACAAACTGGAAACGAGTGTGTTACTGCCATTGAGATTGTGCCGGCGCATAACAGCACCAATAACACAGTCCCTGCTAACCGGCCTGGCACGGTGGCACGCAAATTTGCCAGTATTGCCAGGAGCCAGGTGAGAAAAAAACGACAAATGGCAGCTAGAGAGAAAAAAGTAACCAGAACCATATTTGCCATCCTTCTGGCGTTCATTGTAACGTGGACCCCTTATAACGTCATGGTGCTGATTAACACATTCTGTCAGTCCTGTGTTCCTGATACTGTTTGGGCTATTGGATATTGGCTGTGTTATGTCAACAGCACCATCAATCCTGCATGCTATGCCCTTTGCAATGTAACATTCAAAAAGACCTTTAAAAACCTCCTGATGTGTCAGTACAAGAACATTGGCACCAGATAAACCAGAGGGAAGCCACATCTGCAACATGACGCTGAAGGTTCTGAAGCAATCTGCAGCTGCCAGTCGACAGAATGCTTTAAAGTGTTGAGCTACACCACCATGTCATTCTTTCATCCATCACAAAAGGGATGATTATGCCACGATGCAGAAGAATGAGCTTTTCAAATGTCAAATACACCTAAAAAATGACCAGGTGGGGCTTCAGAAGAATTTGGCAAGCAAGAATCGCTGACTAATATCGAAAGGTCCAAGTGCAGATCAGGTTCTTTTTGCAGAAACTGCTGCTACTTTAGAGCATGACAGACTGCGAATTATGTATGGATGGCTCAGAAGATGAAACGCCAAAAAGCAAGATCATTCAGCTGTTGTTTTTTGAGCCGCCCTACGACAAGACAATAAATCAGAGAAAAAAACACATCCAAGGTGATTAATTAGGATTCGAAAACCCTGCAGGCTGTGAATCAAAAAACAAAGGAAAATTTTACCACCTTCTGAAAGTGTATATTTCTACTACTTTATTCCATGCCTACTTTGAAACCCATCAACTCATCTCATCAAGCTCATAGCAAAATAACACATTCCAGCATCCATGTGCTGGTTGAACCCATTTGACCTTTCAATACGTTGACCATCAAAGTATATGTTTAATGAAAACCAGCATCTCTCCCTCTGACTGATGTGACACTGCTCTCTGGAGACTCTGAGAAAATGTGCAGGGTGAAAGCATTTGGGTTAGTATTTAACTCACGAAAGGGGAACAAAAGACCTTAACAGCCTTAGAAAAATAATCCGTTTTGAGTGTCTGAGCTTCAGAATATCGTGGATGAAGACTAAAAAGAGTTGTTTATAAGAGAATTAGAATTATTTACAGAGGACATCTTACTGTAGCTATGAAGGACTTTGAATTTAGAAGAGTCCCAAAGGCATTATTCAGCTAGCAAATGTATCTTAAAAGAAAATGGTCAGGTCAAAACTTTTAAAATTTAGTATGAAAACCATTTTTTACAATTTAAAATTACCTTCCCTGAGAATATTGGTAACATTCTACTAAACTGCTAAATGTTGGAGCTCTTCTGATGGACATGCATTCAAACCAATGGAACTTGCTGAAGGTCAGTCTTAACAGAAGATAAGCAGTCAAAATGTTTAAATCGTGTTTAATTCTTCTTGATCACTCACACAAAGATTCAAAGGTGACACTGAAATTAAATCTTTATCAGTCAGCTGTGACCAGCCCTGTTTCAATTTGGATTCTAGCAGCTTCTTTTTGAATTACCAGCTACCAGCAAATCAAAGACACACAATTTAAAACAAGAAAATCCAGGTGGATGAAAATTTAAAACAAGGTTTTAAGCATGTGAATCTTTTAACACTAAATGGAGAGAAATATTTGTTTTGTATTCCACTTTCCTGCTTGAACAAAAATGTGTAAATATGAGGCCAATATATTCTGTAAAGGTCTTTCCTTCCTATGTATGGAGAATTATTACAATTTCACTTATGTATAAGAGTCTGGATGTTTGTACTTCTCTTGTATTTGCGTTCATTGTAATTTATCTCTAAGTGGTATTACTTTAAAAATGAATATGAATTGTAAAGCTACCTTGTCTGCAAAACAAAATGTAATGAAAAGGAAGAAATTCTTTCTTTTATTTTTGTTAAAAGCGGCTACTTTTCTATAACACAAGAACAAGTAATATTTGATTTGTTTTGGATGTACTAGGTGATTGTTTTGCTTATGTTCAAATAACGTTTTTTCACCATGATTAAAATTTTCTAACGCCAATCTGGTAAAGTATAATGACCCAACAGTTATTTCCTGTTTAGGAGGATGGACTAGTTTACTAATGCAAAACAATTTTTTTCTCTATCCTGAACATGGATAATCAACATTATCCTGCTGTTGTCTTATTCCTTTATTTTTCCTGCAATTGACCTTAAAAGGCACAACATCCTATAAACTAAAATCTGGTAAGGTACTGTATAAATCCTGTTAAAAATACAACTCAAAGAAGCGAAGACTCCTAGGATCCAAGTCCCATTTCTAGATAGAAGCTTATACAGCTGAACTGAAAGCCTTAAAATCTGTGTTTGAGTTTGATATGAATTTAGTTTCATGGAAACCAGTGATATATTGAGGAAATAGTATGACAACTGCATTACAAGGCTGTACTGTATCTCCTTGTACAGACTGGTTTCCAATTATCTGGCACCAGGTATGTAATCTGCTAGTAATTTAAAAATGTGTCAAGAGTATGTTGGTGGAAAAAAAAAGAATACTTCTAATATGGCCGATAAATATTATGATACTATGCTTAAATATACCCAGAAAAAATACAATGTGCAAACAAAGGTTTTGTTTTTATTATTGCCGATATGCTTAATAAATATCTTTCAGTGAAGGATTTTTCTTGGGTGGTGAGTGCTGTACTGTAAATTGTGGGAAGATAATCACTCATTGTTATAAAAAAATATTTTTTTTCTACTATAATAACTTTTCAGAACAATTCCAGACAAAACAGGCTTAGCTGAGAAAACATGTTTATTTTAGATACAATGGGGTATTCTTGTTCTAAAATACTTTTTAGGTAATTAGGGAAACTACTTTATTAATGTGTCAGAATAGAAGATGTCTGTCAAGCATGAAGTATTTTTAATTTTGACTGATATAATATCATCTAAAAAATGTTGGACAAACTCCTACACTATATCAAGGTTAACCAGGTACTTTTTACGTTTTCTCAATAATCATTAATACACACGTCACTAAGATGGCTTGTATTGGGCATTTGCTAACACTCAACAAGGTCTTTTAGTAACAAATTAGTAAAGCTACAGTCTCCAATTCTGATTAATGACCAATACAATCAAGACATTCAACTGAATTGTAATTTAAATCTAATTTAACTCTGTTAAGTATCAAATATGCTTACAATCTGGTTCCTCTTTCCTTTTTTTAACCTTTAAGAAATGTTTACTGAAAAGGAAGCATTTCTCCAAGACATTAATGAAATGTCATGCTTATAATTCAGATTTCAACTGTCAGACTGTAAATGTAGTGCACAGGGCACAGCTATGTTTCCTAAAATTAATTTGCAGGTCACTGATATGGTCTAGTTAAAATTTCGAAATAGCAGCAATAGTTTATTGGGTGCAAATTTCTGAATTAGACAAGGAAAAGGCTTGTGGGTTTTGGTACCTAAAAAGTGCTCTGTAGACTGCTGGATAAGCCTGAAAGTAACAACTAATAATAACTACTTTTCAGTTATCTGAACTAGACTAAAAATCAAGAAATATTTCATATTTAAAAATGAGTTAAAGTTGTCAATATGGATATGTACATTAATATTGTAATGGAGAGTACCCTTCACTACTGACACATTCCTCTGAAAAATAATCTAGCAAACACATTTCTCTTAAATATTCCTGTTTTTTTAGTTATTAAAGACAGTTTGTTTGTTGGGGCTCGGTACGTCTTTAGAATCTTTCTCTGCCTTAAACTTGAATCACTGTCAAGATGTGTGAAGGATACAAGTTTCTATCAAGTCTTCAGATGATGGCTATCTGCTTTAGTCATTACATCTGTGTCAAGAGAATGTCACAAACAGTCTTCAAAAAGCTGGTGCTTTGGTTCCTGCATTACCAAGTTTCTTATTAAGTCTGAATATCCCCAACTGCTTCTGCAATTTCTGTATTAAAATGCAAGTCCGTGTCTGCAAACTGCATGAGAACACCAGCTGCAGAAAAGGTCTTGCTTTCCGGCAAACAATGAGAATGGTACCAAAAACTCAGCATAGGAAACCGGCACTATTATTTTTATATGATCTGAAATCTACAGGATTTCCACGGATAAAAACACAACAGGTAGAAATTTTCTACTACTCTCAAAAAGCGAAGATGAGACAACCAAAAGTGCCGTGCTCAGCAATACAGTCAGGTTTAAATGACAATATCTTTGCTTCTTTGTCCTCCCTGTTTCAATCACTAAGGATCACCGTTGTTAATGCCTTTATCTCCCTGTCAAACCAACAAGTTTGTAACCACCTACCTCTGACTGTAGTCACACCGGGGAAAATTGGAGAGCAGTACATGGCTGTGGGTTTGTACCGGGTGTCGGCTGCTGGTTTTTTACGGTAGATGTTACACTCTACATTTCAGGAATAACTATTCCATTTCAGTTAAGCCTTAATTAAAGCAAGATTCAAATAGCAAGTTTATTGGGGTGAGTCATCCCATCTGTCAAGATGGGCTGTCAGACCCCCCATTAATGAGGAATGAGCCTGGCTGCTGTACAGGTGAAGATGGGGGGGCAGAGGGAGGAACAAGAGAATGAAATGCACAAGCGAGTCAGAAATAAAAGTGATATTTGCAGTGAATGAGATTAGGGTTTGACCTCCTCCAGAACTGCTGTTTAAATTCATGAATTGCACAACAAATACATTAATATTGATTTAATACCTAAATCAAATTTAATATCAAAGTTTTGAAATTGTTTTAAGACTTCTGTTGTGTTGAACCCTCTGTCTGAGATTCATTTTAAATGTTACATCAGAAACTGTCAGTCATGATCTTAAAGCATGCCTGCATCATTCGATACTCTCAGGGAAAATATGAATGAGCTTTAAGAAGAAAATACCAGTGAACTGCAGCACAAAAAAATCTTTAATAAGAAGACTGGGGCAATTCAGCTAAGGTCTTATCTGTACCTACAGGTGGGTCAGGTATAGACAAGACACAAAGGAATTTGTCACCGTTTCCTCATTTCCTCACTGTTTCTTCCAGAGCAATGAAAATGGAATTGATATACTTAGCACAAGTTGTGTGCAAGCCATGGGGAACCATTGTACTTCTCTTCTGCTATGCGCAGCTAGGAGCAAGCATGTCTCACTGAAATAAATGCATGGATTAATAAAAGAATAATAGAAATGCAGAAAGCAATGCATGTTTACATATAGCTATAAAATTAAATTTTAATTTATATTTACATCAGTCTCTTTGGATTGACATTCCATTCCCTGGAGTTCCAAATCCAACATCTTTAACAGTGGAAAGGGGTTTTCACGTACCTTATTTTCATGCTGGATTTAAATCTAGGAGGTCTTCAAAACAATGCTAAAATAGATTTGTGGGAAATGAATGCAGGTTAAAGTTTAAGAAGACATGTGCATGGACGTCTGTTTGACACTAGTGAAAGTTTAAGACGGATACTTATTCTGCCCCCAGAGCCTGATCCAAATGAAACTGACCAGAATGAGGAGACTTATAATACAAATATTACATAGTTATGGATACTTCTAAATATACAAATGCATTATGCTTTAATCTTTTATTTACAAGTTCTAGGTGCCATCAGAAGTTGTCTACCTTGTCAAGAGGAAAAGTCACACAGAAAAGTCTTAAAATTCCTAGGCTGTTTCCCCTCCTAATTTTGGCATGCCTGTCCCATCCACTTAAATTTATTTCCATGACCTTGAAAGTCCTCTGCCCCCTGAGCGAAATTTCCATTTTCTCTTTTAATCCTAATGTTTCTGAGACAGATTCCCTCTGGACTAAAAATACTTGGCATTTTCAGCTACACTGGACCTGATTAGACATGAAACCAGACTGGATGTTTGTGACAGTGTTGAAAATAAATGAACTTGTGTGCTTGCTTGGAAGCAGAAGTTAACTGGGAAGATGGCACCTCACTACGAGTCAGCTGTGTTTTCTAAACCCCCTTGGGAAAATAAATTTAAAAATATAAGTGAAGATATCAAAAAATATGTTTGAGTCATATACATAGTCACAACAGACCACATTTTGGAAGATGACAAAACAAGATTCAGCTTATCATCCAATAATAAAATGAAGGTTTTCCATATTAGAAAAGATGTCTTTCTGTTCAATATGAACTTTTCAGAATGCCAAAACACGCTTCTGAAGTGCATCAACTTTTGTTTACATCTGTGTAGTCCTTAGCAATGCATTGAAAAGACAAAAATAACAGTCTTTCATATTTCCATGTGTAAAGACAACCCACACATTTCCCAGTAGTCAAATCAAAACATGCTTTTGAGAGTATTTTAAGAATTTTTATTGAAAACCTGACAATTTTTTTCCAATTGACCGCATACCTGAATCAGAAGATACTACTTAAGTCTGTGTGTGTACTGTATATAGGTATGTGCTAATATTATACATATACACATTCACATGCACTCTTATTTCTAAATTACATCTTAATGTTTCATCTTCAAAGTTTCAAAAAAAGTTCATTTTACAAAACCGATATTGGATCTATTTCCCAAATTACACAATTTTAAATTGTCAAATCCTACTATTCCCTTGGATTTAAAAAAAAACCCTACATCATTTTTGCAGCTGACATACACACATATTTGCCTATTTTCAGTCTTCTAAAAAGCATAAAAAAGTGATTTGGAGGTTGCTAATCATAATAATCTTTCAACCCATCTGCTAAACCGGTAATTAAACCCTGTTGATGTTGTTAGTAACACTAACTGGTAGTAAAGGAAAATACAAACTTCATATATAATTGAAGATTTCTTGTCAATTGTTACACATAATGCCTCTGTCCTGTACTGTATGTGCTGTGTAATCTTGTAACTGTTTCACCAAATGCATTTCTTTATAAGACTCATTACATTTATTAACATCATGTTACAATCAAGGAGGCATCAATCATCGATTACACTTACAAATCAGCCTAAAAAAATACTTTAGAATCAAATGAACTGTACATGAGAAACAATGGTTTCATAAAAAGACTTACAAAACTTTTATTTTTTTTGTAGAAAGGAGGCAGATCATTAAGCTGCAGTGACACCATGACAGTTGTCTTGGAAGTTTGGCTAGAAGGTGAAAAGAAGATTGTGCTGTTGCCTGAAGCAGAGGAAGATGAAATCCCATCGACATCATCAAGATATCTTTAGTTCTCTTTCCCTCTTCCTTTCTTCCCTGTAAGAAGTAAAAACAGCACACTGACACCTCAGATCAGGAGTGAAACGGAAAGCAATAGATCAATAACCTGCTACCAACAAAAGAGGCAAGATGAACCAAACAGCCTTTTTTCATTTGTAACATCTCACATGTTCATGTAGGACTCCTTTGTTGCAGTATTTTCTCTTAAAGGCTTACCACTATGAATCTACAAGGGATTTTAATTGTTCAATTCACATTCACTAATTATCTTCAGATGATTTTCACCAATGTTTTGGCATGGATATGTTTGTAACAATTTTTTTACCTGGTAGCCCTAACATTAGTCACTATGTGACTGCATATTGTTCCAAGGATTTACTTTGCTTTACCAAACTTCCAAAATACGTCTCCGTGCTTACATCAGATTTGTTACTGTTTTTGTCACAGTCAACAACATTAAACATACTTAAGAGTTCCTTTGCTACATTATGAATAACTGTTTAGTGGAAACAAATTGCCTGTTAAAACAAATTATAAGCAGTCAATCATGCATCTTCACAAAGAGCTATCAATAATAACCCATGCACTTACTTTCTTAAGAATCCCGACTGTTCTTGGTGTTTTACACACACAGCAGTGTTGATAAAATGAAAAATAGAAACCCCAGTGATCTTGAAAGAACTGAAACGTCCTTTAATTGATCTAGCCTAATAGGGTTGGGAATGAACTCAATACAAAATGCAGGACACCAAATCAAGTCCTGCAAAACCTCCGTCTTAAAGGATGCCATCTAAATGCCATGCTATTGACTAGACAAAACATACACTGACCTTTGGCCTTTGATTTGGTCTTTGTGGGGCAGGGTTTGGTCACCTTGATGTTCTGCTGACACTCGGCGTTGTAGAGAGCTTTCTTAAGTGTACCAGAGCGGTTCTTCACCCCAGTCGCAGTGTCACACTCACCCCAGTTACCAAATTTGTACTTGCAGTCAGCTGAAACAAGAGGAAGCACTCTTACAACACCTGCACTTCACATATCAAAAGCGTCTTTAATACTAAGCAATGCACGGCAGTTTATATACCATTTACGTCACCGTTGTTTCTGAAAGCACTAAAGCCTGCCAACAGGCAGAACTGTCTGAGGGCCTTCTAATGAGGTAGGACATGAAAGACATTCTTGCGTGTTCAAACACCTCAAGGGACCTGAAAACATGAATCTGTTTGCTCAGCAAAATATTATAATTTCTCTTTACCGCCAAACTCCTTCTTCCAGTTGCAAGGGACTTTGCACTTAAGTTTCTTGGTCTGCTCCTTGCAGGTGCCCTCTCGAGTCCCAACCCCACAGTCTCCACTGTTGGGCACACAGGGACTCCAGGTCCACTCGGCACAGTCAGAGGTGCCCTTCGACTTCTTCTTATCTGCCAAAACAGAAGTTCCAGCATAACACAGACTCCCTTGCTGATATCGGACCGTGCAGGTACCCCCACTGCAAAAGCAGAGTGAAGGGCAGCACAGCACAAGGCAACACAGGGTGAGAACCGCACAGTGAGAGCAAGGATGGTGCAAAGCAAATACTGCACCTGCAAAAATCAATGCAAATTTCCCATGGCAAACCCAAAGGGTGGGTCTATAAAAATCAACTGTTTCAGGTGCAACACCTTCCTAATAAAATCCAGTTCACTTTTTCCCCCCTTTGGGATTTTGAAAGCTGAAATTAAGGAAACAAGAGTAGCATCCTTCTGTCATTCTTTAGCAGGCAGTTTTGCTTCACCATTTACAGTAGGGTTAAGACAAAGGGTTTACATGAAAGTCCTTGCAGGCTAAGATTTTGAGATTTCGTCCGGAAGACTTGCCTTTCTTTTCCTTTCCTGCTTGAGTGGTCACCATCATCAGGACCACCAGGAGGAAGATGATCATAGAGAACAGGCCACGCATTCTGGGAAACGAAAAATACCAACCTGCATTAGACACATCTAATATAATAAACAATTTAAACAACATGACAGTCCCAATCAACAAATACTACTTGAATGTGTGTGTGTATATACAGTAGGTACATCTGGATTTTATACATATACACACTAATACACACTCTTCTATATTATCTCTTAATGTCTAATTTTAACATTTTCAAAAAGAGTTCCATTTTACAATAGTGTGCCATAGAAGAGTCATACACCCTGGTTGTATACATGACTGGTTGAGGAAGACAAGATTTCAAATAGGCTAAAAAAAAGAATGTTGATAATCTGTATTTAGATTTGGAAAATGTAGCTCACTTCCCCCCCGCCTTTCTCAATTCTTTCAACAACATTTGGATTGTGCTCATTTCAGGAGAAAAAGCATTCCATTAGGCGGTCATGTCAGGAGGTCAAAAAGGCCTGACATTCCACAAACTAAACACGGGCAGAAACCTGACAGGTCTTCTTCGTAAGCATCAAGCAGGCGTGAGAACCATTCTGTGCTCTGTAAACAGTAATTACCCGGCTGGAAACCTTAGCCTTAAGGACTGATGAAAATCTCAGCAGCACAGATGATCCAGGTGTGCGCTGCCCTCCTGCAGAAAGCAGAGTGCCACAAGGTACGAACCCAGACAGTAAGCTAGCATGGAATTTTCCGTTGTCTTTCATTACCATATTTGCCAAAGGGCCTTGGCAGCACATAGCATCCAGTACTTCCATGGCTGGGTTCTCTGAGGGGATTTAGTCATTCTCTCCTACTCAGCGATTTTTTTTATTGACTGTCTAAACCCAAACCTCCCCACTTCCACAAGCGATCCAAGTCTATACAAGTAGCAGGCACATGTGCAGTGTTGGGAAAACTCTTTTCAGGTCTTGAATAACAGAAATGTTAAATATGAGTAACCAAGCACATGGTAATTCTTATGTTATGGCTAATGCAATAGCACATAAATATGAATACGTGCATTCACAGTAATTAAAGAGTGTCTGAGTTATCAGAAGGTCTACCACTTTATAGCATGATCCCGTCAGATCTTGGGAGCTAAACAAAGGTCAGTACTGGAATGGGAGACGTCTAGGTTACAGCTGTAAATAGTGTTGATGAACCAATAGGTGGCACTCTTTCTCCTGGACCCAAATTTCTAAAACAAATGCCACAGTATGGTGGTCTCTGGACACACTATTCTCTTAGGGTGCCATCTTTCAGAGGTGTTAAAACTGAGATCCTAACTAGTCGGTCTAGAAATATCCCGTGGCATTGTTTGTAAAACTAGGGGTGGTAAACTGGAAAATGACAGACTAAATCCCACTTTAGAGAAGCCAACCCAAAGTTCCCCTTGATTCTCTCAGTGCAGTGTTTGCTCACTGATCTGCTGTGTGTCCCTCAGGTACAGAAGGTGCTGCACTTCACTGAGTGAGTCCACTCCAGTATATAAAACACTCAAAGTTCCTTTGGGATGAAAATCATTATATGAACGCATGAAAATATTACTAAAGGAGTCATGTATTTTTTTTCCATTTGCAATAGTGGAGGCACAGCGTTGTAAGCAAATCCAACACTTGGGCAAAATAAAAATGTTCCTATGAACCATGGTAGGCCTTCATTAGGGTATTTGCAAAGCAAAAGGGAGAATAAAGTATTGCTCAGTGGCTAAGTATTTACTTTTCACAATAGACTGCTGTTCAATATCAAGCCTTTCATTTGAATGTAATCAAAAAGCCCATGGAAGTTATAAGAGTTTTGTAAAAAAAAAAAAGCAGTTCAGTGCTCCGAAATCAATTTCCATTTCTTCTGAATGCTCAGACAGCCTCTCCGCACTGAGAGACTCAAATGCAGAACTGCTTCTTTTGCGATGTCCCCTTGCCGCTGACTGTCGATGCCGTCTGTGACAAGAATGGGCCTTTGGGCCAGTCTCGACCCATACAAGAGCACTGAATCCAAGCATTGATTTTTTCACACTCCTCCCTTTTCGTTTTGCAAGCGAAGCAAAACTGGGGAGGGGTAATAGTGAGAACTGATCCCATGCATTGCTAAGTATGACTTCAAAGAACAGACTTTGAGAAGGCAGAGTGATCTTGAGCTCTTGCATCATACATCTTGGGAATCACAGAATTAGAGTTCCAAGCTGCAGGTTATAATAATACTTAGAAAATGTCATCTATTACTGGAGCTCTAAAATTCTTATTGCAAAGTTGCTACATCAACAGGGCTGTGTGTGTGTGTTTTTTACTCTGGACAACACTTCCATATTAAACAGAATGTGATGTGAAGGAACCAATGAACCAACTTAGCTGAAAAGTCTTCAGAAGGTTTCTGATGAGGGGCTTTCGCATTTTGTTTTATTAATCAAATTGTTGTAATGCAAAAAAAAAATGTGCATCACGAGTATCCAGTGACATTGGTGTACTAAAACAATGCAAATCTTTGTGACAACCCTGCCACTGCAGTTAAAACAGATGTTAAGAAAGGCCATATCTTACATTAAGACCCACTGTAACATACCATATTATTGTCAGGGATCATACTGCAACAATTTTTCAGAAATTGCGTTTATTTTGAAAATGTGAAAATCCAAATAAAGGACGATGTTAAAATAGACCACTAAGGGCTGATGGATTAAATATATTCAAAGCACTGAAAAGAGCAGTTAACATGTCCCAATGCATATGTGACATTTTAGAAATAAATAGACTATTGAGAGTATTCTTTACAGCATGAGGTATCGCTTGTGAAATTTACAGTAATCTAGGCAATAATATATATATATATTCGTAGATTCATCTATTTACCTAAGCAGTTGGAAACCTTGTTTGTTAGAGCAATTATTTAAACTACAACCATTTATTTTTGGACAAAAACCAAGTATGCTATTTACTGGAGAAAGGTCACTTGAGAGGATTAGAAAATGCAATCTCAAACCTAATTCACACATTATTATTCTCATTCGGAATTACAAATGACCTGGGGAATAAAGAAAGTTTTATGACCCAGAAACACTGAACTAAGAACTAAGTCAGTGTTCCACACATAAAGGTCAAGGGTCCACAGCTAGATTTTCCAGTGGAACAAGGACAGCTTATCCAGGAACATTATGAGTCACACAGCGAGTGTATTTTCCTTCTTATAACTTTCAAACCATAAATTGATTGATTGGTGTGTTACATATCTGTTCAGCATAGCATGAAGTTCAAAGTTACATAAAGCAATTTAATTAGTTACAAAATAAACATATTGGATGGCTGTTATGTAATGCAGGGAAATTAGAAGCAAGCGCCAACAACAGCACAGTGGAAGAATTTGCCCTCGTTGCATATATTGAACTTTCCTTGCCCAGAGGCATTTGCTATTGCTTTTTAAAAGGTCAGCATCGAGTGTCCAAATTACCCATTGTATTAATTTACCTCTAGCTACACAGTATTCAGATTCATGGATGGTGTTACATAAAGAAGCTGATCTGTAGTACTAGTTGTGCAGACTAGAGCGGGGTCTTTTTTTACATCTGTTCTCTTCAGGCCAATGAAGGCTGAATCCCAAGCATTCAAAAAAAAAATGAAAACAACAAAATCCAATCGGAGTTGCAAGTGACAAATAAGACTCATGGAATTGAAGAACAATGCAAATCCACACGTGAAAACCAAAGTTTAAAGCGAAAAACATTCCCTTCAAATTTATGAAACTTCAAAAAGACAGTGCTTTAGGATTGAGCATAGTGAAAAAGAGTTTTTAATTATTTTTTCTTATGAACAGCTTATGAAACTTATTTCTTATGAAACCAATGTTGGAACAGTTACTGATTCTTTAATTTCAATTAAAACTGGCTTCTAAATGAACATCTGTTCAATCCCCTGCTGTAGTTAAAAGCCGAGTTACATCAATTGCATGGAAACTGACTGGTTAAAGCCTTTTTTTTCTTGACTTTCCCTGCTGGTATGCTGATCACCCTTATAGCTGCCAGTAAAGTGCTCTTTATTTATTTGAGCACTCATGAAACAAAATGCACTGCAAATTGAATTATAACCTAAACAAATGGAATACATTGAATCCGAGGAAGCAAGCATTTAATACCCTCTTAAAATAAGTTCATAAAATATTCTATTGACCCACTAAATCGTGCTATGCTGTTCCAAACACAATTAACCGCCAGCGACCCAGTAGAGCATAACTAAACACTCCAACTCCATAAATCTTTTTTGTACCACTGTTTAAAATTATGGACGCGTCCCCTTGTTTTCCGAAGGCAAGCTCTCAACTGTTTTTCTGCACCAGCTAACGGTTCCAATAACATTCTTTTCCCAGTCATAAAAGTTGAGAGCTTCTCCAGGCAACACCTTTGTTTCAGCAGAAAAACTGCTCAGCAGGCTTCATCTCACACACCAGGCCGATCATGACTGAGGCCTAGTGGTTTCTAAGAAGCCTTTATCACACTCTGCAAGGAATACAGATTCCAGAGTTTAAAATGAAGCCTTTTTACCTCCTTTTATTTCCTTTAAAAGCTCTACAACAGAGATCTCACGCCGTGCCTTAGAACTCAAGTCTTTCTTCTCTGCAGCTGAATGTAAGCTCATTTGCATATTCAGACAAAAAAAAACTCTAAAGATTTGGGAAAATGTAATGCTTCTTTTGTGAAACGAGAGAGTACATTTTGAAAACTTCCTGTGGTGCTTCAGCAGTTATAGTCATGACCAACGTCTGATCAGCCACATTAAAGATTTCAGAATGGAAAAAAAAATACTGTAAATATTTTACCGCAACAAATCTGAGCCTTTTAAAAAAAAATAATCCTCACATGAATAAAAGATATTAAATCAAGAATGAGTTTTATCAATATACAAAGCAGTGCCATGTTTAAGACATACCACAATTCAGAGTATGTTTCAGGCAAGAAACATTAAAATACTCAGGAGAAAAGAATCTAAAAATAAGGAAAATTAAAACTGTGGAATTCATATTCTGTTCCAATCACACTGGGATGAG